TTTTGATGCGTGGTAGAGGGGTATGCTGTACGTGAAATATGTAAATGTAGATATAGATATAGGTTGACAGAGAGATAGACAGATAGATATAAAGAGAGGGAATCTTTCAGACACAGACACACAGGTATATGTACAAACTTTTAAAGAAAAAGAAAAATTTAGAGAGAAGGGATGAGAATGGAGAGAGAGAGAGGTGAGAGAGAGAGGGGGGGGGTGGAAGGCAGGTAGTTTAAGAGACAGACAAACAGATAGAAAGGAGCGAAAGCAGAGAGGGAGAGAGAGAAAGAGAGAAAGAGGGGGGGGGAGGCAGGTAGTCAAAGAGACAGACAAACAGATAGAAAGGAGCGAAAGCAGAGAGAGAGAGAGAGAAAAAGAGAGAGAGGGGGGTGAGGCAGGTTGTCAAAGAGACAGACAAACAGATAGAAAGGAGCGAAAGCAGAGAGGGAGAGAGACAAAGAGAGAGTGGAAGGGAAGAAGGGAGGTACACATACACACTCACTCACTGAAAGAGAGCGTACACATATCGACAGATAGACAATTAGAAGATACAAATAGAGACAATGATAACAATAACAATAACAAATCATAAGAATGATAATAAGTGCAATGAGAATAACGATAATGATGATGATGATATCAACAGAAAAATACAAAGCAATAATTTCATGAATTTTCCGAGGCCTTGAACTATCCTTGCTTTCATGTTGACTCTGCATTGCAATTCTCCTTAATTGGTCATTAGGATGTTAGTCCACTGTCTCGTTATAGGTTTAATTGTTGCTAACTGACCAATGGAATCTTGTAATAAGGCTGCAAATTGCTGGCCAAACAAAGGAACTATTCTTTATCAGTTTCCAATAACGAAATAATTTCCAGTGGTCTTTTCCCGATTCTGAATAAAACTTTTCATAATGCTTTGTGTCAGTGAAACGAGTTGTGTTTTATAAATAAGTTTGTAAGTGACATTTAATTCCGATGTGACTTTTTGTGTCAATCATTCGCACATAATTACCGTTGATATTTGTTTTCTTCTTTCCATTCTTGATTATCATTTCTATATTTCGTTATATATGTATGTATCATGTATGTATGTATGTGTTCATGTATATCTATATCTATCTATCTGTCTATCTATCTATATGTGTGTGTGTGTGTATGTGTGTGTGTATGTGTGTGTGTGTGTGTGTGTGTGTGTGTGTGTGTGTGTGTGTGTGTGTGTGTGTGTGTGTGTGTGTGTGTTTGTATATATGTATGTATGTACTTATTTATATTTGTTTGTATATATATGTATACACATATACATGTTTATGTGTTTCCAGTAACTGGTTTGGGTATACATAAAGCGGATTTACTATAGTAGTAGTATAAATCGACAGCACCAAGATTAGCTTAATAACTAAATATGATAATTTCTGAGTCGAGAGAAAATGTAGACACTTTCTCATATTTAGCAAAATTCTGTTCAATTATGTCGTGCTATTAGATTCTGCATCATATTTTGAAAAGTTTATTGTTTGATAGTTGATCTGCCATTGATGCCTTCGTACGGTTAATGAATTCTAGATATCGAGTTTCCGTCATGTTTTTTTGTTTTTTTTCATTCATTTTTCAATATTTGTTATCAATCTTAATGTGTCTAGGTGTTCTTTGGTTGTTTATTCAGATTTTTTGTTCTCTTTATTACAGACACTGTTAATATCATTAGTTTAACGAAGGTATTACTGTTTCTTGTGTATAACGTAGGAGTCTGTATGCATATCATATGCATAGGAACATATGTAAAGGTGTGTGCTTGCATGTGCATTTACACGAAAATGAACATAAGCGTAGTACTTAGGGCATGTGCAGGTGAACAACTAGGTGTACATACGCGTAAATGAAATCAACGTATAATATATAATCACACATATATGCACTTCTGATACTCAAGCCCATGCTCACGGGAGTATACCCTGGTGTAGTGAGCAGCCCCGTGGGTTGCTGCTCATAAGTACACACACTAGAGAGGGCCAACCTTGCTGGAGAGGCTTATCAGTGGCATCCCTGCTAAACTACTCCCCTCCCCCCCAAGATACACCCAATCCAGTAGGTGGGGGTAATTCGGCTATGTACCTTTCAATCAAAAACCATGACCGCACGAACAGAGCAACGGCCCTCATTCCCCGGAGGTGACGAAGCCCCTGGTTACGGCGGCGATCGGGATCACTTCGGAGCAGAGGGTACGGAAAATCTCCGGTTAAAAACAGGCCACCCCACGTTGATGAACCTTTGCACAAATCATGACAATGGCAACTGAATCCGACATACTAGCATTACTTGAGGGACGCACTTTCATTAAATAAGATCTTGTAGGAACAGAGAATACTAAATGATGGCGGAGTATACCCCAGGGTAGCAAGCAGGAATTAAGGGTAGGTTTCTTAGTTCACAAACGTTTAGAAAAGAATATCGTGGAATTCTATAGTGTAAGCGAAAGAGTAGCTTCAGTAACAATAAAACTAAACAATAGATACAATTTAAAGATTATTCAAGTCTATGCTCCAACCTGCAGCCACAGTGATGAAGAAATAGAGAGCTTCTGTGAAGAGAGAGTAAAAACCCATTTCGCAATAATTATGAAGATTTAAATGCCAAAGAAGGAGAAACTGAAGTGAGGAATCACGGAATAGGCACTGGGAATGAGAGGGGACAAATGCTAGCCGATTTTGCGGAGGCTCGATCACTCGGTATCGTGAATTTCAAATAGGCGCGATATAGTAAAAAAAATGGAAGTTATTAATAAAGTAAATGTGACGAAGATCTTAACATTGACCAAATCAACAAACAGGTCAATGACAGAGTAAAGGACGCTGCACATGAAGTAGGCGGTAAGAACGACAAGCAAAGCTCCAGCAAGCTCTCGGTAGAAACTAAACAGTTTATGCAAATATGTAGGTTCATGAAAGTATCGTCAAACAGGGATAAAATATGATTAGCTGAACTAACAAAGACTATGAATAAAAAGGAGAGAGATGTACGGAAATTCATTTCTCAAATATTATGAATGACACAGTGATCTCACGCACCAGCATTTAAACAGCTAAAAGGAAACTCGGAATAGAAAGAAATCAGTGGAAGACTTTTACAGGGATATCTATACAACTCAAATGAACAGCCAAGGATAGAAGCAAACGCGGTAACTAGAGGCGTGCCTAACATCACAACAGAGGAAATAAAAAGAGCGCTTAAAGGCATGAAGAAAGGGAAAACCCCAGGTGAAGACAGAATTAGTATAGACCTTATAATAGATGCAGGAGAAACAGCCGCACTGAAACTAGCCAATCTTTTTAACAAATGCCTTCTCAACGGAAAACTTCCCAAAGCTTGGAAAACGCAACGATTATTTTGGTACATAAATAGTCAGTGAACTGATAAACAATCTGAATATAGAAAGTATATATATCTAAGGAAACTCGTACAAACACATCTAGCGAAGAGGAAATGAAGCGACGCATCAGCCTATGCTGGAACGCCTTCGGCAGACACAGAAACATACTAAGAGGCTCCTTGCCATTATGTCCAAAAAGAAAAGTCTAATCAATGCTCCTCCCAGTCATGACCTATGGAACAGAAATATGAACTACCGGAGTGGGAACTAATAAGTGCCCAGAGAGGGATAGAAAAGTTGATGCTGGATATCAACCTAAGAGATCAGATGAGGGCGACAGGGATCAGGAAACAGACAGAAGTGGAAGATATACTCGGGAGCATCAAAAGGAGAAAATGGCAATGGGCAGATCATATAAGTCGGAGACAGGGCGACAGATGGACAAAGAAAGTAACAGACTGGGCTATAGATAACATACAGAGGCCAAGGGCCAGACCAATGACAAGATGGCGTGACGAAATAACGAAATATGGGGGCCAAGACTAGAAACAAAAATCGTAAGACAGACAAGGTTGGAAAGGATTGGTAGAGGCCTACTCCAAGTAGCGGACTGATTCAGGCTGATATATATATATATATATATATATATATATATATATATATATATATATATATATATATATATATATATATATACATATATATATATGTATATATATATATATATATATATATATATATATATATATATATATATATATATATATATATACATATATATATTATATATACATATATATATTATGTATACATATATATATTATGTATACATATATATATTATATATACATATATATATTATGTATACATATATATATATATTATGTATACATATATATATATATTATGTATACATATATATATATATTATGTATACATATATATATTATGTATACATATATATATTGTATATATACATATATACATATATATATCGAGCCCGAGAAAACGACATATCGCTTTGAGAATTCAAACGCAGGTATCGTAGGGGAAGTCACCGCCGTGGCACAAGTGTCAACGCGCCGAACCGCGGTTGATTAGGAAGGGCATCCAATCAGGCAAGGGTGAGACTGCCATATAACCTCTCAATACTGAATTGAGAGACGCCTATGGCCTGTAGTGGAATGAATGGCTGTAAAAAAAAAAAAAAAAAAAAAAATATATATATATATATATATATATATATATATATATATATAGATAGATAGATAGATAGATAGATATAGATATATATATATATATATATATATATATATATATATATATATATATATATATATATATATATATATATATATATATATATATATATATATATATATAATACATATATATATATTATATATATATATATATATATATATATATATATATATATATATATATATATATATATATCTATCTATCTATCTATCTATCTATATATCTATATATATATATATATATATATATATATATATATATATATATATATATGTATATATATTAAATATATATATACACACATTTATGTTTGTAATCCTACATTCTGCACACTGCAGGAAGGCCTCCCTCTCGCGCCGCCCGTACTTACGTGATATCGGTCGAGAGCGATTGCCGTGATGGAAATCGTCGACACAAATATGGACGTCGCCTGCAGCGTCCCCACGAGCTTGCAGGCGAAGGGGGTGTCTCCGAGGGGCCAGTACTGCGACAGGAGCTCCATGAGGGTGAGGGGCATCGTCACCAGGCACAGCAGGAGGTCCGAGATGGCCAGGTTGATGATGAACACGTTCCTGGCCGTGCGCATGGCCGGCTTCCGAATGACGGCCATGACCACGAGGGAGTTCCCCGTCGCCCCCAGCAC